CCCCAAAACCCCAAAACCCCAAAACCCCAAAACCCCTTATTTCGATTTAATTGATATTATTTTAGTTTATTACACAGAATTTTTGATAAATGGCACAGAATGCATCTGCAAGATATGAATCATTTGGAGTAACCAATGGTCTCCCAATGAGTAAGCAATAATTTTTTTTTGAAATATACATTATTAAACTCCAGATCTGGGGTCTTAATCGGGATGCAGGCTGAAGGCTTAGATAGGGCCTTGACCAATGTTCGATTCCTCTAAATAATGGAGGTAATACAAATAGTATTCTTGCTAAATACAATGCACCTGCTTAATATTTATCAAATGAACAGTATTCTAGACAAACTGAATGCATTTCTCCAACCCAATTTCTACATTTAGCTACCTAAAGAAGCTGGGAATAGCTATTTTAGAGTAAAATACTATAAGATTCTGAGAAACTGCTTTCATAGCAAGTGTACAAGTTCTTATCTTTGTGAAATCGAGTTTTTCTTGCTAAATTCGCCAAAAATATCTAAGAATTGGTCTAAAACTTGTTGAAATACGAATTTCGCCAGAATCCTGGAGACTCCTCCCTTTGCTAATTTTATTGATATTATGATGGCTTTCTGGGTAACAAATTTCAAAATTAGAAGAATGCATTATTATCAATAGGTACTATAGGTGTGACTACCTCACTCGACGATAGTTCAGGCCCAGAGCCAACTGACATGATCCAAGTCAATAATCATGTAGAGGCCAGAGCTCCGACGATACTGCAGAGAATATAGAGTAAGTTTTCTAAAAATTTCCAACTTTTAAGTGAACGAGGTAGTTCTGAATCCCTTTTCATCAAGATCCAAAGTTTGACGAATAAAGCCCGTTTTCCTTTATAATGTGTCTAATACATTTTAGCATTGATGAAATGTTCTTAAAAAAGCTGTACTTAGTGACAGTTAGCAAGAGCCTTGAAGACATGATAAACGGACCTGCACAGGATCTAAATTATGGCGCCCTAACTGTGTTTGATGCGCAAGCAATTCCTCAGATTTCGATCCAGGACTACCTCTTGAGAATTATGTCTTACTCAAGAGCAACCTCAAGGAACATGGTTATGTGTCTTTGCTACATAGACCAGTTATCTCACGACCAAAACTGACCTATCATCTTGTCTAGGTACAACATCCACAGATTGTTGGTCGTCTCGATGATGGTTTCCTGCAAATTCTACGAAGACTTCTACATAGACAATGAGTCATGGGCAACTATAGCAGGTATGAGTCTCCCAGAGATAAACAGACTGGAACGCAAGTTCCTCACCTACATTGGTTTTGAGATAAATACCAAGCTTGATTGATTTCTTAACTATGTCCAAATGCTTCTCAGCTACGCTGTAGAAAATGAACTAGTTGAGATTGACATTGCACGTGAAGTCCTACAAGCCATTGTAGACGCCTCAGTGCAAGAGTTTGAAGATAGTGAGTTCTAAATCACTCTCTTTTAAATTAAGATAGGTCTGGCAATGCGTAATCGAATACCCCCAAGGCTCTGAACACAACAGGGAGATAGCCGAAAATCTCTCAGTTAACAGGGTCTTTATATATCCAGCGGGTATTCTTGCATCGATTTATCAATCAAAACATGCCCATTTAAAACTTGTGTCTCACAATTTTTAAAACCATCCATTAATTTCCACTTGGTGGAAACGACCCGGGGTTTTGGGGTTTTGGGGTTTTGGGGTTTTGGGGTTTTGGGG